GAATAATTATAACCTAAATTGAAATATTTGGTAACCAGTCCACAGCACTTCTTATCCTTTTCTGGAATGTTTACTTTCAACCTAATGATTATTTGAACGAGTGTGGGGAAACATTGTAGTTGGGAATCCTTCTTGTTGTCCCTTTGTGATTATGTCATTCACAGGTAGTGTGTAGTTTGAATGTGAGCAGTGGTTGCCTTGCTGATTCTCCCAGTTCTGAGGGAGTAAGCAGCCTCTGCTTTCCAGTCTCCCCCCAAGACAAAAATGCGTAGTGCTCCACGAGACCACTCTGATCAGTAAGTAGTATCCAATGTAGAATGCACTTGGGATCTGTTACAGACTGAATGGTTGTGTCCTCCCTCAGCCCCCATATTTATAAATTGAAGCCCTGTCGCAACATGATGGTATTTGGAGGTGGTACCTTTGGGAGGTAATCAGCTCATGGTGGAGTTATGAGTACAGGGCCATCATAATGGGATTAGTGTCCATATAAGAAGGGCAAGATACCAGAGCTTGCCCTCTCTGTCACGTGAGGACATGGTTAGAAGACAGCTGGGAAGAGGTCATTTCCCACTAAGAAATGAATTTGTCAGTACCTTGATCTTGGGATTACCAGCCTCCAGAAATGTGAGAAATAGCTGTTTTGTAAGCCAGTCTATGGCATAGCAGCCTGAATTGACTAAGAAATTATAGAAAAAGTTTATTCACTTTAAAGAATACCTAGGGCTCCCTTCTAGAGAAATGAGGAGACCCACTTAAAAGTGTTCCCCAGTGTATGGATCTAGGTCACTTTTAAAGGACTTTAAATCTCCTCTACTCTAGCAGGTGAGCCAGCAGTGATTTATTTCATTTCTAAACCCTTTTTTCCTTCTCCTTTTTTCCCCCTGAGGTGGTATCATGACTATGTAGGTGAAAATTGGTCTGACTTTCTAATTCCCTGGTCTAAATGGTCAAGTGGGGCTCTACCCTCACAGAGAAACTCAATGTTGGTACCACTCTTGTTGAGCCTACTAGAGCAAAGAGTTAAATCCTGTGGCATCTAGACAAGATTAAAGTAACTGGGCTATTAGTGGTAACCACTAATCTGTTTTATCTTTGACTTTGGGTTTCTTTTGTTAAATATATTTGGTTTTTATATACCACGTATATGTAAAATCATACATTATTTGTCTTTCTCCATATGATTCCATTTAGTATATAATGCTCAAATTCTATCCATGTAATCACAAATGGCAAGATTTAATTCTTTTTATGGCTGTATAGTATTCCATTGTATACAAAATCCTACATCTTCTTTATTCATTGATGGACTTAGGTTGTTTCCATACTTGGCTATTGTAAATAATGCTACAATGAACATAGGAATGCATTTTTCTAATTAGTGTTTTTTATTCTTCAGATAAATACACAGATATGGAATATCTAGATCATATGGTAGTTCTATTCTTCATTTTATGAGGATTCTGTTTTCCATAGTAACTGCACCAACTTACATTCACATCAAGAGTGTTCCAGATTTCCCTTTTCTGCACATCCTCTCCAACACTTGCTGTAGCTTATCTTTTTTATGTTAGCCATTCTAATAGGTGTGAGGTGATGTCTCATTGTGCTTTTGATTTATAGTTCCCTAAATATTATGTTGAACAACTTTTTATGTGCCTGTTGGCCATCTGTGTGCATTCTTCAGAAAAATATCTATTTTCTGCATAGCCAAAGCAATCTTGAGAAAGAAGAACAAAGTTGGAGGTATTCCACTCCATGATTTCAAGTTATCCTACAAAGCCATAGTAATCAAAACAGTATGGTACTGGCATAAAATAGATACACAGATTAATGGGACATAATAGCCCAGAAATAAGCCCACACATATATGGACAATTATTTTATGGCAACAGAGCCAAGAATGTAAGATGGAGGAAGGACAGTGTCTTCAGCAAATGGTGTTGGAATAACTGAACAGCCACAAGCAAAAAGTGAAAATAGACCACTGTCTTACTACATGCAGAAAATTAACTCAAAATGGGTTAAAGACTTGAATGTAAAACCTGAGACCATAAAATTCCCACAAGAAAACAGGTAGGAATCTCCTTGACATCAGTCTTAGCAGCATTTTTGTGGATCTTACTCCAAAGGCAAAGGAACAAAAGCAAAAACAAAAATGTAGGATTGTATTAAACAAAATGCTTCCACACAGTGAAGGAAGGCATCATCAAAATTAAAAAGTATGCCAAAACTGGTTTGGCTCAGTGGATAGAGCGTCGGCCTGCGGACTGAAGGGTCCCGGGTTCGATTCCGGTCAAGGGCATGTACCTGGGTTGCGGGCACATCCCCAGTGGGGGGTGTGCGGGAGGCAGCTGATCGATGTTTCTCTCTCATCGATGTTTCTAACTCTCTATCTCTCTCCCTTCCTCTCTGTAAAAAATCAATAAAATATATTAAAAAAAATTTAAAAAGTAACCTACTGAATGGAGAGATATTTGCAAATCCTATGTCAGACAAGGGGTTAATATCTAAAATATATAAATAATTTATACTATTTTCTTTTAAAATTTAGTATCTGCAGTTGGAACTTAGAGTGCTTTCCTGCAGGCTGCGACATTATTTGTGTTCTTTGATGCTGATATGTTGGTGGAGAATGTATAAAGTTAAGAAGGGACTGTCTACAAAAAGAAAAGAGTGACACCCATTAACACTAACTGGCAGAAGTTCCTGCTTCAGTGCTTAATAAATATCTGTCTTTGAATGAGATGCACAATTGGTAGATGTAATGCTTTCTATAACCCTATGAATGTCATTTCAATTACAATGACGATTTTACAGAGTACTTTATTTAATTGTGAGTTTGAGCAGATCTGTCTGAGCCTCAGTTTTTTCACCTTTAAAATGAGTTTGGACAAGATGAATCTAAGGTCTCTTTCAGGAACAAAGTACGTGTTCTAGTGTTCTATAATGTTTTTCTTTTTATTGAAAACTTACATATTACATTATTTGAGGTTCCATTGCTGGCAGTCATTTATATGAGGTTTTGCTAACATGATGGGCACAAAGAGTGAACTCTGTAATCATAATAAGAAAAATGCAAAGTTGAATTAATGAAGATCTCTAGGATTCATTTTATGGTTATTTTTTACTCTTTTATAGCTCTTTTTTTCTTTGCTGTTTTTGAAATGGAGGAATATTTTAGCTCGATGTAGTCCTGCATGTTAATGCATGTTAATAAGGGGACAAACCCAAACCTTTCTATCATCCCTTGGATACTGATTGAGGCAGCACGGTCACCAGAGCTTTAGTACTACTTCTTTTGTTAACTAATTGAGACTTGGAGTAGGTCATGTCATCTCTCTGCTTCTTGATTTCATATATCTCTATATATAAAAGGCTAAGTGTCCATCCTTCCGACTGGTAGCTATGACGCACACTGACCACCAGGGGCAGATGCTCAACACAGGAGCTGCCAGGACACACACTGGCCATTTAAAAATAAATGGCATCATGGACCTGGCACTGACAAATCAACACTTGGCTTCCCCCAAGTGGGACATAGGCCCCGCCACCACCCCGGAGTGACACCCCACCAAATTGCAGTTGACGCTGCCAAGACCCCATGGCAAAAGTGTGGCCCATGGCTCAGCCCACCCTGGAAACAGTTGCTGTGGGCACTGGGTAATGCCCTTACATAGCAACACCATGCTTCCTCTCCCTAGCGATTAGCCTCCTTGGAGTTTCTTCAGCCCAAGAACCCAACTTGCTTTATAGCCAGGTGCAAACATTTTATAGTTTAACCAAATGTTTGTGAAGCATTTTCACGTGCCTCATCTCATTTGATCCTCATAGAAGTCCTGGAGTAGGTAGATAGGAAACTCAGTAGAATCCTACTTTCTCTTCATTAGCCAGAAAATGGAGATTTAGAAAGTTTAGAAACTTGACCTGACTGAAAAGAAGTAAGAAATGGTAGACCTTGAAAATGACTTCAGGTTTTCTCACTGTGCAGAATATAGTCAAACACTGCTACAGTTAAATATTTTACCCTTTGCTCTCCTTGCATAGGGTAAATAATCTGCTTCATGTTGATATTTATTGCTGTGTTTCTGACAATTACCTGAAAGAGAAATTGCAGTGCTTCACTGTGCTGGGAAAAGTTTAGCTAAATCAGAAAGCAGGTCTAATTAAGCTAGTTTATTCTATATCTATAAAAGGCTAAGTTGACTCCTGTATGCACAATACATATAAAGCTCTTGCTGGCACCAGTCACACACGTGTGTTTTGATCTGTCATTGGCGATTGTGAATTTGGTTGACACTTCTATTATAAAGGGCAAATAGCGATATTAAAATATTTCTTCTAATTGATTTCCTTTCAATGTGCTTGAATCTGTGCACCGGGCCACTAGTATTTAATATAATACCCACTTTCTTTTTAAGTTTTACTTGATCTGTTTAGGAAGGTGAATATATACTTACTAGAGGCTCAATGCATGAAATTCATGCAAGGGGCTTGGCCCTCACAGCCCCTCCCAGCCTCAGCCGGCCCTCGCAGCCCCAGCTTCGTCTGGAAGGTCATCTGGAAGGTCGTTCGACTATTTGGCGAATTAACATATTAGCTCTTTATTATATAGGATTGTAGAAAATGCAAATAATGCCAAAAGGTATCAAAGGGAAAAAGAAAGAAAAAATTTCACACACACACACACACACACACACACACACACACACACATACTCTTACAAATATGTATACATAGATATACATATATTATAAATATATATATATATATATATATATATAGTTTTATTTTTCTTAAAATTATCTCCTAGTAATATGCTAATGGTTAGGGCATCTCTACTGTTAAGGATACTGAGTGTCTCATTTAAAGAGATCTGTTTTACTAATGAAACTTTTAGGGTTTTTTTTTGGGGGGGGGGCTATTACAAATGACACTGCTGTGAGTGTATCTTAACATCTTTATTATAATCTCTACTTAGAATGAACTCCTAGGAATAGGATTGTTGTGTCAAAGGATGTTTATATTTAACACTTAATTCATGCTGTCATGTTGTTCTCCACCAAGATGTCCATGTTTTGCACTACCACCAACTTTGCCTTAGATGCCTATATCCTCACACCCGTATCTACTAAGGTATTGACAATATTTTCACAATATTGTTACAATGGTTATGACAAATTATATCTTACCATTACTTACTATTATTTTTGTTTTAAGAGTACTTTTTGAAAGTATAAAATGATATATTTATGACACTTATTTTTAACTTCGCTGATAATGAGACTAAGGTTAGAGTGGTTGAGATAGAATTGTTTTTTTTATTCTTTGTAGATTGCTTTCAAAGGAATATATCTAGCAATTTCCTTTCTATCTTTTCCAGGGATTCAAAAATGCATTTACTTCCTTCTGTATGTGGCACACAAGTTCAAGATCTTTTCCAAATATATTTTCAATCACCTCATGGTGTCTTAGCACCACATGATTAAGTTGTACTTCTGTAGAGATAATGTCATACAATCTGCACCCTGATCTGTGGAAAAACCAGATATTGCTTGGTTAAGTATCTTTTTTGATTTGTGATCCTATAAAAGCATAAAATAAAATGTTCATTTCTGCTTTAACAATATCTAATTAGTGACATTTCCTTCACCAAAGTTTCTTTTTTATTGGCTCTAGTCAGACTGTTTTATAAGTCCTACAAAATGTCTCATCTTTTTTATTTCTTTTAAACTTCATTATCTTTTTGATGACACAGTAATTTTCTTTTCATTTTTTATCTCCTTTTAGCTGACATCTTCACTTTGTCTTTCTTTACTATGCAAGAGCTTATCCATTTGTTTTGCTAACTTTTAATGGAAAATTCAATTTCTATGAAGTATGTGCTATTATTTTTAGAAGTACTTAATTAAGTTCTCTAAAGGTTAGGTGAGCAGATTAAAGAAAAAATGTATAAATGTGGCAAGTCACCTTCCTCATGGGAATCCACCAGGGAGGATTTGGGGTGAATAGTGACAAATTATATTAAAGTGACATTCTGTTTTTCATTAATGTCTTTCCAAGAAAGGTTCAGGGAATTTGTTATATGCTCTTTAAATTTAAGATGCAGAAATATTCATGCATACTGAAGAAAGGCAGTATAGGTAACCGCACAACAAAAGAGAGGAGCAAAAAATTGAAAAAAGGGTAGTCAGAACAGCATATTGGTTTCACAAACAATAATTAAACATCCTTGTCAATAGTTTTTCAGAAATTTGAGACCAGTCAAAACATATTTGATCTGTATAATTTGTTACTCAGATTCACTAAGCACCTTGCTACGTGGAAAACACATTGGATTGGGAGCTAGGAAAAGATTGATGCCATCACTCATCTGTATTGTTTTTTCCAAATGTGAGGCTCTGTGACATCTTTTTCATTCTTTGGTCCTTCTGTTTCCTTCTAATTGGGCTTATACCATTTTGGTAAGAGAAGGCAGTCAGATCTGTTGGTTCCATTTGCAAATGTGATGATATATCTTCCAGAAAAACAGACTCCTTATTTGATTTTAAACCAAAAGAGAATAGAAAGGAGTGGAGGGATAGGTGCAGTATCCTTTGTTTATGTGGGCACTATTTAATATATTTTTGAAACCTATTATAATAAAGACCCTCACCTAACTAAATGATGTGGGAGGGAGGAAGCATGATGGAAAGCAAAGATAGTTTGAAACCAAATAGGGAAACGTTTACTGAGACCATCACCACCAATGACGAAATATGGGAGAAAAATTATAGCATGGTTTTGGGGATTTTGGATTCTAAAGTCAGAAAGACCTTGCTTTGACTATGGTTCTTCCACATACGATGGGAGTTTATCTGAGCCCCAACATCTTTGCCTGTGAAATGCTGATAATAATACAACTTATCTAATAGGGATATTGCGATATTACAATGAAATAGCACATCTAAATTGTTTAGTATGGTAACTAATACATAATCATACTACTAATAACAAACATTCATTCATTCATTGATCACTAGATGCCACTTACTCTTATAAGGGCTTTCCATGTATTAACTCAGTAAACAATGTGAACTCTTCTAATCCTTATACTTATTTTTAGGAAACTATATATATATATATATATATATATATTACTGACTTATAGTGGTTCCAAAACTTGTATCTTTTTATTCACATGAAACATAAAAATAGAGATATTGATATATATACACACACTATTTGTAAAAAATTGAAAACAAGATCTGAAGTTTCCTAAATAATATAGAGGTTATTATATATCAGTTCCTTAGTGTGTTCATTTTCATATTTAATATTTTTATAGTATTTAACGTATATACTCTGAAGTATACTTGAAGTAAGCATCTTTAAGTGTTGTTGTTATATGCCTACAATTTCTACTGTCTTATCAAATACAACTTCACTCTTAATGTCTTTTTGGTCATGGTCATATTTGAAAGTTTTATTGTCAAACCAAGACATAGAAGTAGTCTTGCCCTAACCGGTTGGGCTCAGTGGATAGAGCGTTAGCCTGCGGACTGAAAGGTCCCATGTTCTATTCCGGTCAAGGGCATGTACCTTGGTTGCAGTCACATCCCCAGTAGGAGGTGTGCAGGAGGCAGCTGATGTTTCTCTCTCATCGGTGTTTCTAACTCTCTATCCCTCTCCCTTCCTCTCTGTAAAAAAATCAATAAAATATATATTTTTAAAAAGTAGTCTTAAAAGTAACACATTAAAAATCTAATGTTTACACAGATACTTAACTGTGCTCATTGTTTTTTTTATATTATCTCCTTTAATCATACCATCTTTATGAAATAGGTATTATTGTTATTCATATTCATAAGAAAATAATCGAGGTTTAGTTATCACAGATAATTTGCTACAATATGAGATGGGCAAGTGCTGATGTCAGGATTAGAACGAATAATTGTTTAATTTAAAATATCATTTTATCACTACCAGTGCTCCTTTAATATTTCCATTGAAACATCCCCAGAGCAAAGAACACTGTACTCTGGTGTTCTAGGAGCATGTTCCAAAGATGTATAATCAAACAAATATTTTCTGACATATGTCTTTAAATCATGCAAATTTTGTATTCTTTCTGATATTTTTATGTTAATTTTAAATAAAACAATTATTTTCTTTATGTATTGTTATCATAAGGACTCGATTTATTCTTAAGCAGATACCTAATATCTGTTTAAAACTTGAGGATATACCTAGTACTGCTACCAGGCCCTTTAGATAAGACCAAACCGAAAAAGCTAGTTGATAGGGAGGACAATGAAATATTCCTAAGGCAGAAAGGAATCTTATGCTTATGTATAGGAAAACAATTCATGCAAACATGTGTATGCATATTTTAATTGCTGCCAGACAATCAGGACAGAATATTTTGTCTAATAGCTAAATGTTGTGTGTGAACTGACTTGAATGACTATGTGTGCTGGCCTCATGTCAAAGAAGCCTGGATATGGCAGTGCCATATAAAAAGAAATAGAGCAAATAGAAAGAAATTGAATATGTGTCATTATAATAGTTTTATTAAAAGGAGACAAATGTTAGAGCAACAAATATGGGAGATATTTCATTTGGATATTTTTAGTGAGCACTCACAGAATAGAGATGTGAATTGATTAGCACTTCTCCATAACAGAGTGAAAAACTTACCTTTCCTGCAGACTTGGGAAATTATTCAGAATATAAATATAACAATTCATTTATTGACTTTGCATCCTAGGAAATATCAAGAAGAATTGTCTGATGTGAATAGAGAATTTGGGCTTGCTAAAATCAATATTTATCTCTCAGGTCAATCAATTTATTGATATTCATCTCAATGAGAAGTCAGTATGTGTGTATCATCACTATGGACTAAATTTCAACATAGAAATGTTATCATCTTGAATTTAGTTTGCTTCCCTGAGAATACTACCCTCCCATCAATTTTATATGGTTTGTATTAGGTCTAAAAGAGAAAACTTTAAAATCTATTAAATATTTTATGCTTTTCGTTTCTCATACCATTTAACAAAAGGAAAAAATGTAGCGTATAAATTGTTTAAAATTATAATGTCCAAAGTAAACTCCTACCAACTTAATTTCTCATAGTGAAATTTTTATAGGGTACATAGAAATTATTTAAAGCTATGAATTATAATGATTTTCCAAAGAAATGATGTCATGACTTTAAAATCAATACGACACAAAGTGTGTCAAATAGAGATAAAAACGCCTAAGATACTTCTTTTATGGCAATCATCAACTGATAATTTCAATGTAGAAAAATACATATTACATATATAGATAGAGAATTCAAGCTAATGTTACAAATTAATGAAAAGGAGATTTGCAGTGCATCTACTTCAAATATTTGTTGTTTGAACTAAACATTTTTATTTTGAAGCTAATGTCTGCCTTCATTAGAGAAACTGGTGCCTGTCTTTAAATATATTTGATTTATTTCCCAAAATTTAGTTAAATTGAATATATTTATCTTTTTATAGCAGAAAACCAAGTATATTGAATATTTTTAAATACTCTTCTTGTAACTAATATGTGTCTTGCTTAAACTACCCATGATAATAATACATAAGTGACATAATTATACCTAACTCATTAATTATCTATTTATATTTTTTATTTGTTATGGATAGTAGCCCCAGTTCAATTGTTAGCTGTAACATACCCACCAAAATTGTACTGTTATTCTCTTTCCTGTGGAAAGATGTTAGCTGCCAGAAAGTTTTTAAAAAAGGTTTATAAATGCAAATTCACTCCCAAGAGATCTTACATACTTGATATGTCAGCAATCATGAATGTCAAGGACTTTAGGGGAGGCCAATAAATTTGGCCTTTTCTTATATATTTCTAGTCATGTGGTAGTGAAAACATCCACCAAGTACACTCAGGTTTTAAAGTTTCTCTTGTTTTCCTGCTCTATTCTGTGAGGCAGAACTGTGGGTATTGCCCTACTTCTTCCTATGCCTGCATTTTGGCAATCTGAATAAGTAAAAAGTGGGAAGAGATCAACCAAATAACTTGTATGCATGTATGCATAACCCATAAACACAGACAATGAGGTGGTGAAGGCCTGGGGCAAGAGAGGGGGAGAGGGCGGGGCTAAAAAAGGTCAATAGGGGAAAAAGGGGACATGTGTAATACTTTCAACAATGAATATTTAATTTTAAATAAAAAAAATAAATTAAAACAAATGAAAGCAACCCTCTTGACTTAACTATCAGACTCCTATCTCTCTTTTTATTTTATTGATTTTGACTAGTTTCCCCAAACTTGCTTTCTACTTGCTTTTTATTGTTTCTACTAGAGGCCCAGCACATGAAATTTGTGTGTGGGTATGGTCCCTAGGCCTGGCCTGCAATAAGGGCCATCTTCCCCAGCTGCCCGCAGCTGGCCCCTGCCACCACCCACCCCTGGTTCCCCATTTGCCATCGGGTGATTGGTGCCTGATGGCCAGGGGAAGGGACCAAGAGGTGGTCAGTGCACCTCATAGTGACTGTTCCAGCAGTTGTTCTGGTCGTTCTGCTGT